AAAAAAAAACCCAAAACCACCACCCCAAACTTGTGTTAGGAACAATCAGCTCGTTTGCAAAGAAAAATCCCTGGGACGGGGACTTATTGTAACGCCGCTGGGTAGCAGACTAAGCTACTTTGCTTTTTTTTTTTTTTCAATAAATGAGCAAACTACAGTAAAACGCCAGTTGGCTCCTCCAGCGCAATTCTCCTAAATCATGATAGACAGATTGCGTGAAAAACAGGAATTCCAAAGAATTTCCTGCCCTGGGAACAGGAGTTAAGGCTATATTTAACAACATCTGAAGCTGTCAAGAATGCTTTGTGGTTGGATAACAGAGCAGAAAAATGTGAAAAATGCAGGCTACTGCTATACCAAATATGGAAATATTGTTACGTCTGGTGTCTAAATCACCATCTGGAAATACTTACAGCCATGAAAAGAAAAAATGCCACAACAGAAGCTTAAATTCTCCTCCCCAGTCCCAAATCTTAAACTTCAACAAGGAAATGATATTCGAGTACGTCTAACTCGAGAGGGGAACCCTAAAAACTGATGATAAACAGGATGAAAGAGGGATGTGTTTGCTGCGCAGCCCAGGGTTTCCTGCAGTTTTGTCACTGGCCTAAGAAGTAGCCCCCTAAACACAGCTAGGACACGGGCAGGCTCTGGGCGTTACGGCAATGCAAGCACGCAGCCCCGAAACGTCGCTCTCCAACAGCCCTGATGACAAAAGCCTGGACACTGCAGGCGTTGCCGGTGGACAACACGCTACGCAGTAGGTCCCGCAGAAGAGTAGCGCTGCCCATCGCTTTTAAACGTCCTTCTCCCTGGGGTGAAGGTGATTTAGGTAGATGTTTATTTGAATCGCTTATCAGGGTAGGCTGGAGTGAAGGTCGGGCAGGCTTCGTTACAGAGGCACGTACAGACGCTTTCCCCCCGCCGGGTCCCCGCGCGTGCGGCGGGGCTCCCCCGCGGAGACGCCCAAACGCGACACACAAGCAGCCCGCAGGCCCAGCGACCCGCGGTAGCGCAGACCTCCTG